GTGTGTGTGTGTGTGTGTGTGTGTGTGTGTGTGTGTGTACATAATACATTATATATACTTTTTATTTAAACGTGAGTGTCTCCTGAGAAAAACAGGACATTAGTTCACATCAGGAAAGAAGTAAAAACACCAGCTTCCTGTCAGCTTCCTGTCAGCAGATTCAAGCATCAAACCCTTTAACCGTGCTGCTTGCCCAAAGGCATGCTGGGAAGCTTTTTAACCTGTGACTGTTTTCTCTTTCCTCCCCGTGCGTCCCTCTGAGCTCACGGCTGTGAAATACTCAGACTCTGCGTGATATTTGCAGCCGCTGTGTGACATGTGGAGGGACAGGATTCAGACCTGAGACCATCAGGAGAACTCTGAACCTCTCTCCACCTGAGAGCTGCGTTTGTTCGTCTGAAATCATAATCTGAGCTAATCTGTTTCCGGAGATTGAGAGGCAGGAACTGCAGAGCGTTAAAAGAAAGAACCAAACCTGTGGTTTAAACTGTGAAACGTCCTCTGCTTCACTTGCTGCTTCAGGAAGCAGAAAGGATCGGCTCACAAACCCATTCAGAACCTGAGGCCAAACCTCATCCAGACGCTTCGTTAGGTCAACCTGTTCAACCAGCCAATCACAGGGCAGGATGTAGGAACCATGAGGAAGAGGCTGAGCGGTGGCGGGCGACATCATTCAGCCTGTGATCAGTCACCTTATCAGCTCAGTCAGGGCCTTTAACAACACATCGAACTATAACTGCTGCGTCCAATGAAAGGAATGTTTCTAAAAATGGTTCTGATTGGACCGACAGGCCRGACCCGGTCCTGGTTTCCAGTCCACAGCTCAGATCGGAGGTCAGGTTGACAAAAAAAATTAAAACCTTACAGCCCAGRTCCTTCATTTCAACACAATATATCTGCATTAATAAGTGGAAGACATGGGTGACTGTTAGCAAAATATCTCATCAACCATTCAGTGGATTTTAATAAAACTCTTAGAAAATAATCACTAGATGAACCTTTTCAATATGGCCGCCACGGCTAACACACATTAGCAATCAAAAAGCACCAACAATTTTACAGAAACTGAGTAGAAATTTGTTGTGGTTTCAGCCAGGAGTCATCCTCCAACACGTACAGAGACTAATTTTAGCTTTTTCCTTTGCTGTGTTAGCTTTAGTTTTTAGCTACTGTTTTGCTACATCTAACTTTTAGTTTCAGTTGCTCTTTTTTTAGGTATAGTTCAGCACATTTCAGTGTTTAAGAATGTTACTACATTTAGCTTTATCCACTGTTTTGTTATTTTTAGCTTTAAGCTACTCTTTTGCTACATATAGCTTCACTGTTCTGCTAATTTTAGGTTTAGCTACAATTTCTAATCTAGGCTTTTTATCTAAATGGTAAATTCCACTGTTATGCCGGCTTTAGCTATATTACAGCTCATTTTAGTGTTTAGCTAAGGTGTTGCTACATTTAGCTTTAGCTACTGTTATGCTAATTTAGAGTTTGGCTACAGTTTTGTTAATTTTAGCTTTTAGCTACAGCAAAGCTCATTTTAATGTTAAGCTATAGTTTTGCTACATTTAGCTTTAGCCACTGTTTTGCAAATTAAAGTTTTAGCTACTTTTTAAATTAGCTTTTAGCTGTAGCTCAGCTAATTTTAGGGTTTAGCTACTGTTTTATTTTATTTTTCAGCTACAGCAAAGCTTATTTCAGTGTTAAGCTATAGTAATGCTATATTTAGCTTTAGCCACTGTTTTTCTAATTAAAGCTTTTAGCTACTGTTTTGCTACATTTAACTTGTGGCTAATAGTTTCTCTAATTTAAACACTTTGGTTTAATTCAGCTCAGTTTTGTTTTTAGATAAAGTGTTGCTAAAATTAGCTTCATCCACTGTGGCTAATTTTAGCTTTAAGCTGTTGTTTTGCTACATCTAGCTTTTACTAACAGTTTGTCTGATTTAACCTTTAAGTTTTAATTTAGCTCATTTTATTTTTTAGCTAAGGGTTTGCTCAAATAATTTTATCCACTGTTTGGTTCATTTTAGCTTTAGCCACACTTCAGTTTATTTTAGCTTTTAGCTACTGTTTTGCTATATTTAGCTGCAGTTGTTTGTTGTTACTTTGCTGATCATATTTCAGTTCTTTAGCTGTTTTTCCTGCAGTAACAAGCTGAACCTGAAGTGCACAGTAGCTGGTAGTAACTCCTGGTTCCTCCCTGCGGGGTGCGTTTGTTTCGCTCTACAGGTCGTCCTGAACAGAAACATCTCCGTCCTGCAGGAGGAGGTGCAGGAGCTGCAGCAGAGGGAGGCCAACCTAACGGAACGGCTCGGCCTGCAGGAAGGTAAAACGCCGTTAGGAAAAACTTACTCACTGCCATGAAAGAACAGAGAGCTGCCAGCTGTATTCTTAGCTGCGGTGCCCCCCACCCCGTTACCACGACGACCAGCGAGTCCGAGTAAACAAAAACAAATGCAGCATGGTTTGTGTTTAATGAGGTCCTTCTGTAATCATGTAAGAAGGTCTAAATATAAAAACTGAACCAGTGGACCACAAACTGCAGAGTTTTCTGACAAGACTCTGTGAGGTCAGGTCCTCACAGAGTCCTGCAGGACTCTGTGAGGACCTGACCTCACAGAGTCCTGCAGGACTCTGT